GAGCATCACTTTCCAGCACCAACATGTGATGATACTGTCAGTTTTGCCAACCAGACACCCAAGCCTCAGGGTCCAGAGTTCTTATTGGGGCTCTACCACAAAGGCATGACTGATCGCCCACATGGCTGATCTCAGTCTCTAAACCCTCTGGAGTTTATATCTGACTGATACTGCATGACCCAAAGCACCTGCCATAAATTGTGTTGTTGGTTCTTCCAATGTGGTCCCACTCTAAATCATATTGTTGGACCATCTGGTGACCCAAGGCTCCCAGGCAACCAGAGACACTCCTATCAAGCGTGGCATTTCAAGGTCTTCGAGATCACCTCCCAGAAGCCGGGATGACGGTCAGAGCTCTTTTTGGGCAAGGTTAAATTCTTTACTACACATAACAACTGTACTTGTCACCCAGGGATCAAGAAGCTGCTCCTTCCACCAGAGCCACTGCCTTCTGACACTTATGGAATAAGACATACGGGATTGGAATATGGTGGCAAAAAACTTCCAAGGCTCCAAGTCTGTGTTGATGCCTCACTTCCACCCTCCAAATCTTCCTGAGGAGTCTCACCTGGTGGAGCCTAATATACATTTAGAGCCCTAAGTACTTAGGGGGTCTGGGAAATGCAGGTTTTACCTTCGCAGCCTCTGCAGTAGGAAAGGGCAGTAGAAGATGGTAGAAATGTGTGCTGAGTGTCAGTAGACCTATCTGTCACTCCTACTGAGTAGGAAGAGAGCAATGCATCTACCGGTGTCCTCCGCTGAGAGCTGGTGAGCCAGCACACGGAGAAACAGGACAGTCGTTCTTGGAGGTGCACACATTAAATTTTCCTGTACCATTAATCTCTCAAAACTTGGGGAAGACAAATAACTATGGCATCTTGAAAACCGGCTCAGGAGATAGAAACACACGAAATGATGAATGGTTGGTGCACTGCAGGGGGAGGGGTTAAACATTCAGTCTTCTGCGTTGGTTGAAACCTTGGCTTAAAGTCCAGCTGCATCACTTCCTAGCTGTGTGACCGTGAGCCAGTTACTTACCTTCTCTGAGCTTTAGTTTCCTTATCTCTGCAGTGGGGGAAGGGGTAGTAATAGCAACCTCCAAGGGCTATTGTGAAGATTTCTTGAAATTTGGCTGGGAAAGTATTAGCACAATTCCTGGAAAATGCTTAAAACAATGAATGGAAGCTGTTATCCTCACCGTCACCTCCATCATCATCATCATCATCATCATCATCATCATCATCAGGATAAAGAAAAAGAGGAGAAGGAAACAGTTTCCTAGGCCTTTAAAACCCCCTTCATCCACTTCTGACCTCAGAATAATCTGTAACCATCAATTATTGTGTCATTAAATCTAAAAGGACCTGTTTCTACTATCATGGAAGTCACCAGATTAGTTCAGTAGAGTAACTAGGTCAATGTTTGTCACCTTGTCTATGAAGCTTGGCAGGAACAACCTGCTCTTTTTTCTGCATTCTCACTGCACAGAGTCTGTGTGCCACCAGTTAGTCCTTACATCCTTTTCCAACATCAGCAGCTGTAACTGATATCAGGATGGCTATAGAATCAGCTCTATTGGTCACCAGCCCTGACCTTGAACAAATCAGTTCCTTTCTCTGGGGCTTTGTCTCCCCACCTGGACACTGGGGATCATATTATTCACTTCTCAGGGTTACCGGGAGTAGTTTTTCCAGCACATAATACATGCTCATAAAAATTCACAGCTCCTAGAATTTGTAGACATGGCTGGCTTTCCCACTGGATTATAAATTTCTTAAGGACACTGTGCCTGGCATATGGTAGATGCTCAAAAGTCCTTGCTAAAATGGCAAGAATGGCTCTGGGCATCTGGGATGAAAAGAGGCATTGAAACCAGGGGCAGGGGACTCAGAAGACCCTCATACACATTCCACTCTTCCCTCCTTTTCCTTTTCCTTCCTCCCAGGAGGTAATGTTTCCTGGGATTGTTGTTAGGTTGCCTATACTGACTAATGACACCCTAGCAGCTTCGTTCCAGGTAGATCAAAGCCCTTTCAAAGCCTTGGGGAAGGCAGAGAACTGGTTGGCCCAGGATGATTATTCCTATTCTATGGATGAAAGAAACAGGGACCAGGACTCAGGAACAGATTCATAAGCAGAACCAGGGACTGTTGGGCAGCCTGCCAGGGCAATGTTGCCTCTTGGTGACTATCATATTTGTTTGGACTTCCCAGACCTTTTCCAGCATGGGCTAGCCAATACCAACATTCTCTCTCTCCGTCAAAGTGCCCTGTTCTATTGTTACCTTTCTGTGCCTTTGTACTAGGGTTATAAGAGTTGGCCGGGCTCCTGGAATAAAAAAGGGCAATCTGGGGCCTGGCTATCTGGCAAATCAATACAGATCCCATGCATAGATTTTTGGCTGGTCTGCCTTTGCTAGGAAGCTGGAAAATTTTTATTCATTGAGCTGAACCCACTTATGGGTCACCCTGCTTTATCTATGATGATCTGTTAGCTAGGAATCCCATTAGCTGACTATGACAGCCTTGTGCACAAATCTCTATTCCTGCATTGAAAATATCTCTTTATTAGAAGTTTCCTAATGTACTGGGGCTGTGCATAAAGAGGCAGTGAAAGCAGTACTTTGTAGGTTCAGGGGTCCTGGAATAATTTAAAGTCTTTGAGATATTTCTCCCCCTTTAAGAACTGAAATAATGTATGTGAAAAAGCACAGTGTCTAACCCATGGTAGAGGCTCCTTAAACATTAGTTAAATCAGAATCTCCAGAGTCCCCAGAGGTTAGCTCATACCCTGGCTGAGAGTAAGTGCTCAGTAAACATTTGTTTGGACTGTAGATGTTTTTGCATAGATAACAGGGTTATATTCATGGACCTTTCCTCTCTAGTTCAATTCTTAAGTTCTAAAACCCATCCATAGCAAGTTCTCACTGGTCAACTTTCTGCACAACCCTGATCTTGATACCAAGCTATCAACTCATCAAAATTCATTGATGTCCCAGGGTTGTATCCCCATCTACAGGGGTGTATCCCAGGGGTGTCTCCCCATCTACAGCATTTCAGACACACTGTCTCCATGAAGGCAGCTTGGACTGGTCTCCTGCCATGCTCTGCACTGGTAGGACATTCTCAGCATATGTGGGTGGTGTTGGAGGTGTTAGCAACTGCCTGGGAACTTAACTGCACTTAAGTAGCATTTAACAGTAAGCCATCCAACTGAGGGTGACATAACCACGAGCTCCAGAATAAATATGTTCCATTCTCACCTTGGAATACTCCATGCACTGCTGCTGGCTTAATTGTGCTTTAAGGCCAGCCAATTGTGAACCCAGCGTGGAAGCAGGGACATTTCTTCCATATGCGTTTGTTGAGGTTAGGGGAACATGGTCACAATGTGAAAGATAAGTCCTGTTCCAAGTCTTCTTAGCACATGAGTCCATGCGCGTGTGTACGTGTGTGTGTGTGTATATGTATGTGTAGAGTGTCTTTTTCTCAATGGATTCTAGACACATTGTCTTGCTGGGGAATTCCACACCCATGAGATGTGTGAATCTTGAGACCTCTTTGCTGACAAATACTCATTGAGTGCTCACCTTGTGCATGTGTTTCCTTTGGGGTCTCAACAGAAAGCAGATGACACATTTGAGATAAGATGATCTGAGGAGGGTTTATTTGCAAGGAGACTATTAACAAAAGTGTGGGTGTGGGAACCACAGGAGTGGAACAATAGCTTGTGGCTCAGAGTAGTTGTGGTATTTGTCTGCAGATCTGAGGCACAAAGGGAGGTAGCTGTCACTGTAAGCTGGAGGGGAGGGCCAGGGAGCCACTGCTCCTTCAGCTGAGGGACCAGCCAACTGGAGGTGACCTTGCCAACAACACCTATCCTCATCAATGACCCTTCTCACTAATATCCTTCTGCCTATGGATTTGGTGATTTTGAGCTAGAACATTGTTCCAGTCCGCAGTAAGCTTACAGCTGCATGGCTGATGGAGGTTTAGACAATTTATTGTAAATACAAAGGAAACCATGGCATAAGATAATAGATGAGATGCCACGGAAGGTTAGGTAGACATTGAAGTAGGCTTTGAAACAGTTAGGATTTAGATGTATGACAATCGTTGGGTAGAATAATATTAATATTATCTACTATTTATTGAGCACCTACTATGTGCAAAGCACTGTCTATAGATCATCTCATTTAATCCTGACCGAAACAGGAAAGCAAGACTCACAGGAGTTAAGTAACTTTCCTTAGGTCACAAAGCTACAAAGTGAAAGAGCTTAGGGTTTGCATTGCGGGCTGTTCGATTCCAGACCCAGGCCGTAGTGCACTGAACCAAGCTGCTGGGGGACGAGCCTTCCAGGGTGGTGGAGCAGAAGGTGGGAAAACGCGAGCGCAAGTAGGCAGAGGAGACCCTTAGCCCACGGGACTATAGGGCTTCTACTACATCCAACCCTTTGCCAACACACTTAATTTAATAAATCAAACTACTGCGAACACTGGCAATACTTATTTCGGTTCCAACATCACCGGAGGGTACAGTATCTCATCAAGACTGACTCGCAGGCAGTAAACCACACTTCCCGGAAGCTCAGGCGGGCGGAGGGACCCGGATCATTTTGAGCCCGGGAAAGACTCCATTTCCCAGCATGCAGCGGGAGCGCCGGCCCACAACTCCCGGCATGCGTGGGGAGGCGGTGCGGGCTGGCGCGGGCTCCGCCCCGCTCCGCGGCTGCCCCGCCTCTCCCGCTCGCCCTCGGCCAATCGGAAGGCTCTATATTGCAGTGTGTGACGGGGCCGACGCCGCCGTGGAGTTGCAAGTCGGCGAAAGCGGCGGGAAGTTCGTACAGTGCAGAAGGCGGCGCGTCTCCGGCTCGCGGTAGGGAGGCCGCGGGCGGCGCGGTGCGAGGGCGCGGGCGCCGAGCGGTGACCGCGGAGGGGCGGCCGGGGGCTGGGCCGGCGCTGGCGCCGGGCGGCCGGGCGGCCGTGACCTCGGGCGGCGCCGCGCGGGCGTCCCTTCCTGCAGGTTCCCCTCGGGCCCAGCAGCGGCCCCGGCTTCCTGCACCTGCCCCGCCCCCCTCCTCCGGCCTAGCTGCTCGTTCTCGCGCGCTCAGACCTGCCTCGCGTCCTGGGCCCTCGGGGCCCAGTCTCAGGGCCGGGGGCCGGGTGCCAGCAGGGACCGACGAGGTTCCTCCGGCATCTTGAAGTTCACATTCGGGAGGGGAAACGCCGAATAGAAGCAAATGCTACAGTTTGCAGACCCCGAGAAGCTCCCTTGAAAGCGGGACAGGCGATCGTAGGCCAGAGTGATGGGGGTGAGGAAGGGCATCCCAGAGGGGGTGACGTTTGACTTGAGAGCTGAGAGCGGAGAGGGAGCCTGCCCCCCTGAGGATAGCGTTCCGGGCCCGGGAACTTAGGGTGGGGGACTGTCCCCTTACCAGCCTGTCTGTCCGGGGAAGGCCAGGAAAGAGCTTGCCCCGGAGGGCGTGGTGCAAGGCGGTGGAGCTCCGTGAGTCGTTTATACCGTAAGGGATTTCGTGTGCCTTCTGTCTCCCTCCCTGGCTGACTCGGTGGCACCCTTTACTGATGCAGCTGTATCTGAGGGCAACACATAGTTTTTCCTACTGCCGAAGTAGTTTTTGGTTCTGGGCTCAAAGCTCTTAGGTGATGCAGTTAAAATCGACGGACAGCACCAGGGGCGTTGGGCTGAGAGGCAGACACTAGGTTCCTGTGGATGTGGAGGCCATCCATTTTTCTAACTTCTTTTTTGTCAAGTCACTCATTTTTGGTTTTTTTTGTATCGTCTCTTCCCTTTCCCTCCCCCGTCTTTTTTTCTTGGAACAACTTGGAAATACCAGTTTTGCTGTTGGGGTGGCGGTTTTAGGGAGCTGTGGACGAGCCTCATTAATCCTCCCTCCCTCCCTCCCACCCTTCCCTTCCCTTCCCTTCCCTTCCCTTCCCTTCTTCCTTCCCTTCCCCTTTTCCTTCCCTTCCCCTTTTCCTTCCCTTCCCCTTTTCCTTCCCTTCCCCTTTTCCTTCCCTTCCCCTTTTCCTTCCCTTCCCCTTTTCCTTCCTTCCTTCCTTCCTTCCTTCCTTCCTTCCTCCCTCCCTCCCTCCCTCCCTCCCTCCCTCCCTCCCTCCCTTCCTTCCTAAACTGCCTATCTTTTGAGTCTGAATTCACAAGAGGGAAAAAATGTCACTATTTTTCAGAGTTCAGACTCAAAACACCTTTTTATCATATGCTGAGCATCTCTTTGGGGAGAATGTAATCTACAGTTTTAAAGCGATTTCAGAGGGAAGCTAGGGTTCTTTATATAATCATTTTATTTAGATTATGCTGTTCAAAATGGCATGTAGTAATTGGAATTAAATTTCTGGATAGATAAGGTTATGTTCATCTACCCATAGAAGGAATGTGACTTAAGTAGTCACCTAATAATAGCTTTCTCTGCTGAAGCGATCACAGATGGTTATTCTCTGTGCATCTCAACATTGCTGATCCGATTCTGTTTTAATACAGTAAGACAACTTGAATTTAATAACAAAAAACTTGTGTGAAGTAAATTTAGTGCTAGTATCTGGTACAGATACTAGGTTTATAGTGTAGTGGCTTCTCGTTTCGTACTGCAAAAATTATGAGAGGTTATTTGTTAAACAAATGGGATAATGGAGTAATGTGTCAAGCATAGAACCTGGCATAGAATAAGTTACTAAGTGCCCAGGAAATGGTTCTGTGGAAGGCTTAGGCTAAGTTTTATTCCAGGATGCAAGTGTATATTTAAAACCAGCAGTACATTCCAAATGTTGACAGACCCTAAAATTTCTTAAATAGGCCACTTTTTTTTTTTTTTGTATTTGAGAACTAATGTGAAATAATTATGTAAGTGAATGTCTTAGATGTCTAGAAAAGAAAAAATAAGAGTTTATTTTGATAACTGTATATTTTTGCCTTAAAGTCATCCCTAATAAGATACGGTGTACCATGAATAGAATTTTGAATTGAAAAATAAAATTTTGAAAGGATTTTTGATATGAAAAATAAAACTTACTGGAAGCTTTAAAATTTACCTTATATCAAATGAAGGATGAGTCCTGAATTTATGCAAATGTGCAAATGCTGATAACACCATATATCAGGCAGTGAACCTAATGGGAATTAAGTGCTGCCTCTGTGTATGTGGGTGAGGCTTTCATGCAAATTGGTTTTGGTGGGTTATGAGAATGGATTGGTACCCGTATAGGACTGGAGAGTATTTTTTGGACTGGTAGGATATTTTCCACGCTTGCTGAGGTTATTTTTCAGAGTGAGCAGAAATAGACTCATTTATTCACCAGATGTCATGTGCCTGCCTACTGTATGTCACGACCTGGGCTAGCTGGGTATAGTCTCTTCTTGCCATTGGAGTGTTGTGTTTAAACACGTTTTCTTTGTTTTAAATTAATAGAAGTCATTCTTTTTGATTTCAGTTGTCTAGCATCCAGCACACAACAAGTCAATATATGTATAGGACACATTTGAAAAACTACACCGTTATTGATAAATTTAGAAAATTCGGAATTTTTAACTTTCTTTTTTTTCTTTTAAGATTCCATTTATTTATTCATGAGAGACCGAGAGAGAGAGGCAGAGGCAGAGGGAGAAGCAGGCTCCCCGCAGAGCAGGGAGCCCGACGCGGGACTCGATCCCAGGACCCTGGGATCATGGCCTGAGCCGAAGACAGATGCTTAACCGACTGAGCCACCCAGGCGTCCCTAGAAAATTCGGAATTTTTAATAAGGATATAATATTAGTTTAGAAAGATGACCGAACCTGACAAAGCACTTAGCTAGGATATGTTTGTATTCTAGAATACGTTTGGCCCCTTGACTGAAACTCCTGTGAATATGTTCCCCCTTGGCATTGTAAATGTGAGAAGAGGGCTGTGCCCTTTAATTTTTCCCCAACTTGGTTCCTGAATGCTGTTTAGTTAGCACTGAGGTTGCTATTTTGAAGTAATTTCATGCACTTCCCCAATTCCTCCTGCCCCAGCTCTCCCAGTGTAGTCTGTCATCTCTGCACTCAAACCAAGCACAGTCTACTACTCTTCTTCTGGATGACATGGGCAACCCTTTTGAAAAGGAACACTCTAGAGAGCCTAGAGAGGGATGAGGTGTGCCCTTCCCTCCCAGTAAGAGTTAGATTTTTAATATTCATCAGTAAATACTAATGACAAGAAACTACTTAGTAGTAGCATTCTCCAGTAAATTTATTAAGAAATTTGTTAGTCACAGCATCTTTGTCAACTTGGAAAAACACAGTGTGAATTATATTGTTTCTTTAGTCTTTATATAGATACATGGACTTTGATGGTTCTTTGCAGTAATTCCTGCCTCTCCATGGGTTTCTGGCCCATTGGATGGGAACCAGTACTCTAGGATTTAAAAATTAAGATAGACACTGTTAACACTGGCTAATATTTAGGGGGAATATTAAATATACGCACATACTAAGATATTTACCAATAAAGCCGCATACCTTAAGTGGGATGATGTAGTAGGTGGAGTCATATAATTAAATTGCAAGGTTATTAGCTGGGAGATTTAAGAGCGTTCTGTCCTCTACCTTTTAAACAAATAGCATATTTTATTGGAATGAAACATTTGTCTTAGGACCTCACTAGCTAGTTGGTCCCACAAGGGACCTAAGAACTGGAAAGTCGTTAGGAGCAAGGACAGCGGCACCCCCTGCCTCCCACTCTTTGGGGGGAGCTAGAGTTCTTTCTGTGCATTTATCTCATCTCTTTGTAGACTGGCTGGCTTGCTGCTGTTTGCCCGAGGATGTCTGCTCCACAGCTAGCTCCTTGTTTTAAGAACCCAAAAGAGATTCCATTATCCATCTTTGTCGTTTATATTTAAAATTAAAAAAAATCACGAGGTTAGAAATTTTACAGCTAACTACAGCTTTATTTCAGATTAATTGCTTTTCTCCAGTTGTGTTACCAAGTAACAGCTGAACAAGTGCCATTGTTTGATGATACTATGTGTAAATGCATTGTGAACACATTTCACAATACTAAGAGTTGGAAAGTGCTGTTAAACCTTCAGTCTTCATAGGCTATGGCTGGAAGACATAGAAACAAACTTGTACTGTTTCTGTTGGCAGTATTGCCTTTTTTTCACTTCTTATTGCAGTTTATAATATGGCAACAGAGCTAGCAACAAAGGGATTATATCTAAGTATACATTTTTTGTTAAAGGTAGTAAGGAAAAGTCTATTATTTGGGAATCAAGATAAAAGTTTTAAAAAATTCATTTTTTTTTTTTTTAGCAAGCTAAGCTCAGGTTATAACATTTTAGAGGTTTAATCTTACTGGTTTTTCAGGCCCTTAGAAAATATTTTAGAAATTGTGACTTTTTTTTTTTAAAAGATTTTATTTATTTATTTGTGAGAGAGAGAATGAGAGAGAGCACATGAGAGGGGGGAGGGTCAGAGGGAGAAGCAGACTCCCTGCCGAGCAGGGAGCCCGATGCGGGACTCGATCCAGGGACTCCAGGATCATGACCTGAGCCGAAGGCAGTCGCTTAACCAACTGAGCCACCCAGGCACCCTTTTTTTTTTTTTTTTTTTTAAAGATTTTATTTATTTATTTGACGAGAGAGAGAGGGAGAGCACAAGCAGGAGGAGCGGCAGGCAGAGGGAGAGGGAGAAGCAGGCTTCCTGATGAGCAGGGAGCCCGATGCGGGACTCGATCCCAGGACCCTGGGATCATGACCTGAGCCGAAAGCAGTCGCTTAACCAACTGAGCCACCCAGGCGCCCAGAAATTGTGACTTTCAAACTTACATTACCTCTCATGCTGCTGGTGGGAATGTAAAACAGTATAGCCACACTCTGGAAATGAGTTTGGGAGTTTCTTAAGAAGCTAAACATATACTTAACAATTGTACTCTTGGGTATTTATCCTAGAGAAATGAAAACTTACTCACAGGAAGACCTGTACATGAATGTTCACAGTAGCTTTTTTTATAATAGCCAAAACCCGAAAACAACTCCACCTGTCCTTCACTGGGTAAATGGTTAAATAAAATGTGGTCTAGCCATATAATGGGACACCCGCTCATAATAAAAAAAAGGCACAGTATTGTCGACATGCGACAGTTTGGGCGGAGCTTAACGGGCATTGTACTGAGTGCAAAAAGCCAACCTCAAAAGGGTGTGTGACTGTATCATTTGTTTATATAGTATTCTTGAAGTGACAAAATTGTAGAAATGGAGAACAGATCAGTTCCTGTGGGGTTGGGGCTGGGGGTGGTGGTGGGTTAACTCTGAAGAGGTA